TTAAACATGACTTTAGCTAAAATGCGTAAGTCATGTTACAATCCTAAATGTTCCCAAGACACAAAATATGGGATACATAGACCTATTTCAACATCGTGATTATATATATACCCTAAACAAAAGCAAGTCTTTGGAATTACCCGAATTTCAAGGCTCCAACACTTGAGAAATAGCAAAAAATGCGCATAACCCAACACATGGGGGCTCCAATATCCACAATAAACAAAATGAGATATTCATGCCATTCGAGCTACTTTCGAGAATCGCCTAAACTACAAATAGTTTACGCAGATCTCGAGCCTTACAATGTTCAAATGCATCACAATGATTCAATAATCATTTCTTTCCTTTGAAAACTAACTTTGCAACTGAACTTGGTCATAGCATAAGCTACAAACATATCACATATTTGATCCATTTTCAAGTTCAACTTCAATAACTAATCTTAGTGCATAATTGTTGTTTCAATACTTCAATTTACTCTAGAGATTAGAGAGTATGACTAGTATAGAGCGAAAGAAACAAAATCATGAGTATAAAAATAGAATTCAAACGCATACAACATGCCTGCTCATACGAAAGTTTAATACTCAATTGTTCATCATGAAAATTGTATCAAGACGCTTCAATAACACAAGACAAACAATTTCATGAGTTAAAACGTAATTAAAAGACTCCTAAGTTCAAAATTAAGGGGTCTTCAATCAGTAACAATATCTAAGCTCAAAGGAAAGAATTCAAAAGTAGCGAGAATAGAGGAAAAGTTGAACAACATTTCATTTTCCCTCTTACTTGTTCTAACGAACGACCAATATTACTAGACTTAGCAAATTTCCGTTGTTAAAACTATGAATGGTCGAAAACGATCTAAACACACTCGTTTAATCGTTTCCAAGATCCTAGTTGTTATCATAATAAGACGAAACACAAGATTTCTAGACCCATTTCGAGCAACATGAAAGGGTTTAATTTTTAAAAACAAACATGTCATCGAAGCCACCAAAAATTGGGGGCTACGATACTCAAAATTATAAAATGGGGGCTCATAAGCCCGAAATATAACCAAATTACATCAGTTCGATGATGTCTTCAAGAATTTCCTAAACTAACTAGTTTTATGCAAATCTTGAAATCATAGTTTTATAAGTGAATAATAATAACTGTCGATTATTGTTCTCATTAATTAAACCAATTTTGTAACTTAAGCATGAGCCACAAGAACAATTTCATCAAAGTTCAAAGTTTCAATCCTAATTTTAATGCATAATTGTCGTTCCAATACTTCAATTTACATTAAAATTGACAACTATAGTAAAAAAAGTAAAAAAAAAAAAAAAAAAAAAAAAAAAAAAAAAGAGAGAAATAAGTTCAAAGCATAAATTCGGAAATCAAATGAAGAAAAAACATATTTGCTTGTGTATACTCATACATGACTCCTTGACCACTTCACATGAAATTTGCTGCAATATATTCCTTAAACATGTCACAATGACATAGTACAAACAAATTCATGAAAACAAGTAGAATCGAATACCCCCAATTTCAAAAAATTAGGGTTCTTCTTTCGATTTTCCCTATTTTGTTGACCAAATTCAAAATTTGGTACAATGAACAAGGAGCAAGACTTACTTTCCTTGGCTTCAAACGATAGAGAAAATGGAGCTTTAGAGAAAGAGATTCGAAAATGGCGAATGACGAAGAAGAGCACGAGCCGCGGATCATGTTTCTTCAAAATTGTTCATTATTTAAGTTATGCGCGCAACTCACAAAGTTGCGCGAGACAACTGCGCGCAACTTCTAATATGGCGCTCGACACCCCAGTGCAACCCTCAAAGTTGCGCGCGGATACTGGTCAGCCAAAATGACCATTTTTCCGGTTTTTGTTTTGTCTTCCAAACCAAACGTTTTAGCTCGTTGGATTCGCGCCACGACAGGTTTTCTCACGAAGTTTTAAAACATTCAAAAACCTTTTATTGCTTGGCATCCAGTAGTTTCTTTTCTTATTTGATAGTTTTTTGCATCATCCTGCATGCACACCGTGCTTTGTGCCTGCCCCAAGGAAATGTTTTGGATGTTTTTCGTGAAGCGTCTTAAAATATCCTGTAGTGGTGCTTTACGCAAAAGCTCCCATAGACAGTTTGGCATTTTCTTGTGCTGCCCCTTTTAGAAATGTCACGTTTTTTGTATTTTTGTCGTCCATAACAAAAGTACTGTGTTATTGTGCAGCGTAAAATTATATGGCGTATGTGCTGCCTAAAATTGCACTAGCGACGTGATCTGCCTCCCGTTCGAAAACGGTAAAACTTCTTTTACAAACTTTAGGCGTTAGCTTAAACGAGTCAACAAGAGCGCCGAACCATCGGGGCCAGACGCCCCCCGATTGGAAGCAAATACGGTTAGTTAGTAAGCACCCTAGCTTTACCGGACAGTTAGGCTGTCCTTCCACCCCTGTATAAAGAACTGGTCCATGCTGAAGCCATCTAGACACGTGCCCCCTGTCCTGAGACACATGCTCTCATCTTGTGGACAAAGCTGCTGAGAAAGTTGCCGATTTTCTTCTCTTTCACTGGATTTGGATATGTGCCTCCAGTTCTGAGACATGTATTTCTATCTTGTGGACATCGAGTATTTGTTTTGGCAGCGTATGTCAATCTTTTATTCAAGTGCTAGGATACAAATGCTAAACACACCCCATTTATCATCTTTTACTTTGTTAAAATCATGGACTAAAGTTTCGATGACATATCGAGGGACTTTAGATCGCCGATGACATATTGAGAGGGTATCATCCTCTTTACTCTTTTTAAACCCGGTGCCTTCTCATAACATGACATCACCCAGGATCGCCTTTACTCATAAAAGTGTTCTACATTGGCAAAGGGTCAATCTAGATTCTTTAGCGCACTAAACCATAAAAATAATAATTTTTTTGGTCTTGACAGCTACTTGTCTCGCACACTTAGCAAATCGAGAATAGTTTCAACATTTTCAACATTACTGAATGATTCCTCGTCCTTGAGGAACTTCGCAGAATGAGTCTCGGATTTATATCCTTCACTACTTTGATCATCGTCTATCCTAGACTCGATCAAAGTGGGGGCTAACTGTAGACATCTACTTTTGTCCCCCTGTCCCGACCGAAAGTGCTATGACGATAAATAAAACCATCATTGTGTTTGATTAAAGTGAAAAATACTTATGGATTACTGATTAAGGCTTAAACACATAAAACAACTAGCTTAACCCAATACAAAATGAACCAAAGCGTGATAAAACTAAGCCGGATAAGTAATTAGGCCTAATCCTGAGATTAAACCTAAATTCGACAGATTTAGAGGTGCCTAGGTTAAATCTGAGGCTGCCACAAGAATAGTCGTGCGCAACTCAAGGATATATTTCATGGGTAAACTTGCGTAAGATTCAGAATTTCATAAATATACTGAATCGAATCTTACCATAAAGCCACGCGCATGATAATAGGTTGCGCCGCCCTTGCAGCGCAGCTTAATCACTTGTGCGCATCAGCCGCGTGCGACCTTCTGAGATGCGCGCGCCACCTGCTACGACAGAATGTTCAAAACCCTAAACTCATTCATTCTCTATAAATAGAGGTTCAATACAAAGCTTTAAACACATTGAATTTAACCCGAAAGTCAGCAGAAGTGAACTTATACACTTATCATCCCCCTTGTCCTAAACACTCACCCTTTTTATTATTTGTTCTTAAGGTGGAGGTTCCCGAACAAGAAGGAGTGCATAAGTGTTCTAAACGAAGATCTAACAAGGAAAAGTGGTAACTTCCCGAGCACTTAGATAAATCACTTTTTTCTTTCTTGTTTTAATAACCTTTAATCAACTAATTAGTGTTGTTTGATCACTTTAAACAAACTTTTAATTAATCAATTTCACATAGTATTTTGCGTTAACAAGACTAGAATTGGAATAATTAATTGATTGTTTTATCATTTAAGCAAAGGCAAATCTTGTTTATTTTTGTTCTTTTCACGAATTCGAATAACAAAGAATAACGACATTCGTTGCAACATAATCATTATGTGATCAATGTTTGTAAATATAATCAACTAACTTAGTTTTAGGTATCACGTTGCATATATTGTTTGGTGATGAAATTGTGAAAAAGGAAGAACTAGTAGAGGCCGTGCTTGGGCTAGAATAGTGATTCCTCCCTAAAAGGAACGTTATTTTAGTACCCTCGCTCCCGAACTCATTTCTGGTACAAGTAGACCAATTTGGGCATGGGTAAACTTATGATTCATGCTAAATATCCCTTGAACCCTACTTGGGAGAAAGGCATGAACGAGGTTTATGAGTTTTCCTAAAACTAATTGGCGACTCCTTATTAGTTTCTTACAAAAAAGCGTAATGATAGAATCAACTCTAATTCAAGGTCCCCCAAACAGTCAAGAATAATTCAAATCCTGACACACCTTAATAAAGTGTAAAGTCCTAGGCTTTTAAAGGGTCATGGGCATAGAGGAGAAGGATCCCCTACGACGGACACACCCTCCTCACAGTATGATTAATATGAATTTTGTTATCGAAAAAAAATAAATAATCTATTGTAGACATAAAAGAAATCTTTCATTTGTGAGTAGTTATGAACTTATTATTTTTTTTAATGATACTTTATTTTGTGATTGTGATAGAAGGGTTTTTTTTTTTTTCTAGTTATTTTTAATTTATGGAATGGAGATGAGAAAAATGGAATACAATTATTTTGTTAAACTACAGTCAATATATAGAAAAGCTTGAAGACAAGGGGGATGTAGATGAGAGAAAAAGTAGAACTTAAGGAAGAAAGGTGGGTAATCCGTATCACCTTGGAGAAGAAATGGTTGAAACTAAAGGAAAAAAATAATGTTTTTGTAAGTTGCAACATTCATGTATTTCAGGTTTATCAATACATAATTTCAACTGTTTGTATTTTTAACTCTATATTTATAAAAATTAAAATTTTATAAATTAGACATTGAGATAAATTTAACAAAAATAAAGTATTACTAAATGTAATTGAAGTTGTATGTGAATAGAGCACACTATTGAAAGGTTGCAATCAAAAAAAAAGAAAAAGAAAAAACAGTACTCCTCACAGTATAATTACCATTTAACTCCTCACAGTAAGCTAACCAACAAGAATACAAGTTATTTGATCCATATACGAACCAAAAGATTCCACATCTAAATAGGATATGGATTCAAACCCCGACTGAGTGAACATAACGATAATACACCTAAGATCTTTTGGGCACTACATATACAACAAGCACACCACATAAAATGACTCGTGCCGTCATGCCACCCCGAGCATATACACAGAGGGGTATGATGGATGCTTGTAATTATAAGACAGGTGGAGGAAAGCCAGTGGAAGAGGCTGATCACCTGAGACTGACATTCAGATTCAGTCATAGTTATATTTCTTGTAAACAGGTAGAAAGTGCTGGTTCCAATGTAGAAATATTGGTGCATATGCTGTCTCAGGTACAAGGTATTGCAATATGAATATTACAAAGTATCAACTGTAGGAACTGCTAAATTAGTAAGTTCAGATATAACACTCTCAATACCTAGGTTTGGTTAGTACAGCAGCAGAATGCTGAGTGACAGTAAAAGCAGCTCAAATCAATGAATCTGTACTTCAGTGTCAGTTCAAACTGGTTTATAAGCAAATGTATCCATCTTTAATCTAGTCTCTCTTTAGAGTTTTAGTCACGATTGTCTTGAAAATTTCAATGGCAAGATAAGAGAACCCTGTGATACCCAGACCTATTAGCAAGATAAGACGGTCATAAGCAGCATTTTGACGAGTATATACTCGAAGTCCAATGACATCCCAATTGCTTTCAGTCCAGACAGGGTCCGCCATGCTCATAGGATCTGTAGAATTCGGAGGCAGTAACTTCCAGGATCCAGACTCATACTGAAGACGGGTTGAAAATGCAGGGACATACCTGAATATATATGAAAACAGATCAATTAATATGACAACAAAATCAGCATAAGAATACTTTTCCACCCTATAATGTTACCCCAATCTATCATCATACTAAAGATGTTTTATGGTCCAAATATTGTATATAATAATAATGTTTTTGCCACCATTTCTATTTCATTTACAGCAATTAGTCTTGGGGAACTCAAGCATCCGTCTTTAACTCTAGGAATTATAACCTTTTTATTTGGACATCCCAATATACCCCGTGACAATAAGTTCAAGACAGAGGGTTTAGTTTTTTGGGGTCACATAGATGCAGCATCAATCATATTATACAATATTAGGGTAATATATGCGAGTTGTAATTAAAAGAGTAATGAATAGAAACTGTCACATATTAAAATGGAAGAAGCTATAGTACATGCTTCAGTCAAGCTAAAATCAGCAGACTGTCACATATTAAAATGGAAGAAGTTAAAGTACATGCTTCAGTCAAGCTAAAATCAGCAGTTTCTGGCACTGGAAGTCTGTAACAGCAAGATGCAGTAAACATCAAAACTTACTATTGGTTTGGAAGTCAGATATATGCTTCAATTGCTCTAACATAGAGCCAAATGGTCACACATTTCTTATTCAGAGAGCTCATTAGAATGACACAGATGAGGTCTTTTTCAAAAAGTCATTCATTTCTATTGCAACTCAATAACTGAGTTGCTAGAAGAAGCATTTTTGGAAGACTTCTGATCATTGTCAGTCGCTCATAATCAAAATCTTTCCCTCCCACTAAAACATGAGTGAACTAATACGAGTGTATATATAGCAGTATCGTTTCTACCTGGTGGTGGATTTAACGCAGACACCTATGTTGTCAGTCTCTGCTTTAATGCAAACTTCACTTTCGCTCCTACAGCCTTGTTGGCAGTTCAAACTAGTATTCTCCATCTTCATGGCTGTCTTCTCAGCTAAAAAGTTCCAGATAAATCTGGATATATCGCTGGAATACCCACGATATGGAGGAGATGAAGGATCAGTTACAATAACTCCAACATAGCTGCTAGGGCATGCACCCGTAGGCAAAATATAATTTTTCACCAGCCCACAAGACAAACCAGGATCACATTTCAACAGACAATCCAAAAGTTCATCTACCAAAGAGGCATTAACACTGATAGAATCCAGATCTGGGATTTTCGTGTTTTGCATGTCAGTGGCAAGTATGTAAAGAGAACGGGCAACAAGGGATGCAGCAGCTACAATGGATGTGGAGTTGATGTTTGCTGCAACAATATGAAAATTAGCAATTCTAGTTTAAACAGTATTTGGTATACATTTCCTGTAACACAGAGCAAACTACAGGAATAGATATTAACTCACATATATCATCAAGGTGACTGTGATAGAATCCATTTGCAAACATGTCATCAAAATCTTCTAAGACGACACCAGATATTTTAGAATCCTGTAAAGGCAAATGAACAGAATTAACAACAGTTAAACAGAATCTTGGAGCCAATCAGTGGACATTCTCAATCCCACAAGTAAAGTCATTTGCAAGATTTAAGATTCAGCCTTCAAAGTTCAGAGATGGTAAACAAGAAAAATAATGCCTCCTCCGTCTCTTCAGTATTGCAACAAGGAGGGCAATTTAAATATTTTTAATTATATAATGGTAATATATTGAGAAGAATCTAGCAAAACGCCAAACAGAAGAATATGTGAATATAGTGTCAAAAGTGCAAACGTTGCAATATTTAAAAAATGGAGGATAGATAAATCATAGAACTACAACAGGAAAGCTAACTTCTGAAACATCAAATTTCAATATCATTCACAAAATTATACTTTTTAGCAAAGGTTCTTCTGGGGTTTATTTACATCCCTGAAGAATTTCTACAATCCTTGACAATCCTGGATTTATTAGCACATGTCTATTATCCGCTGAACTGTGACAGCTTCCCTCCAATTTTTTACATAGAGTCTATATCTGGATAAACGGAATCAATGAAGTATAGAAGCATCAAGTGATTATAGTAAAACAAGGCCAAAACTGATAAGTACGTAAGCTATGTAACATTCTACAATTATTCTCAGGTGACAGTTACGTCTGTTTAATAAGCTCTTCAGCTAACTCACTATTTTATGGGATAATGTCCAAAAGATTGCAAATATTCCTAGTGTCTTTGGACAATCTGGAAAGAGAATAAGGTTGAACAGGTATATAGCTAAAATACAATGGGCTCAAAACAAGGGCAACTGACTTTATGGGGCCTCATCACTGCAATGGCTTTGAGCTCCATCTTAGATCTTGGCTAGCTCTAATTGATCTAACATAGAACTGGATTAAATTGGCAGTTCTAGACCCATAGCTACCATATATTAACAACATAGTTGGAAGATAGTGCAGCATTTTGCAAGTCATCAAGCTGAACACACCCCTCTGCTAATGCACTCCAGAAAGAAAAGTAAAGGCATGGATGTGATTAGTAGCAGAAGATAGATATGGGGAAATTATAGGGGATAAACACAAAGGTTGTTAGAGCTGAGAGAATATCAGCACTACAAATAAGGAACAGTAGTGATACAGGCATTAAGAAAATGTGTAGGTAATTGATAGCTTGGGAGAAAATCCTCCTCTGGAATGAGGATGGTTATTTTTTATACTTTGTAATTATTTTGACTAAGCAATTCAATCCTATTTTGTTTTCTTCTTTCTCTAATGTACATTTAATCTCGGCTATTCTTAGTTATATCGAAGTGAATTCCTAGCTTTTGGTAATGATATTTCACAGTAACCTCCCTTGCACAGTTGCACCACACAACTACACCACATTGTTGAGTCCCCAGTCTTTTATTGGCCAGATTAATACTTTTGTTACTCCTCGACCTTTTTTTGTTCTCTCTCGACTTGCCTTAATTCATGTGCAAATAGTTAATGTAAAGACCATTAAGGAGAAGCAGTTTTAATTTGCATTGTAGTAAGAATAGTTAGAATTATAGCTCCCTGAAACATCTTTCAAGGAAATGTTTTCTTTACAATACAAATTCATACCGTTAAATGAACCTCTTGCATATTCCCTCCGTTTCGGAATAATTGACACGCATTATTGGACACTTAATTTCAGAAAATATTGCGTGAGTGCTATAAAACGAGTTGTTTAATGTAAGGTTACTGGATTCATTTTATATTGTAAGAAAAATGGACATGTGAGGGTGGAGGAAGTAAGTAGGGCATGGTAGGTGAGGTAAAAAAAATAATTTAATAACGATAAGTCATATCTATATAAGAAAGTGTGTCAACTATTCTGAAACAACTAAAAGTGGAAAGTGAGTTAATTATTTTTTTAAAAAAAATAAAAAATAAAAAAAAATAAAAAAAAATAAAAACCTTCCCTGTACAAGTGCCCCAAGTGGAGGCATTTGGTCACAATACTACTAAAATACATGTTACATATAACAGCTAGAAAATGCATCTTAGCTAAAATACATACTTGTGCAACAATTCTAACCTTATTCAAAAATGACATCAATGAAGAGGGAGGAACTCCAGGATTCAAAATATTTGCGGCTGAGATTTTGATGTTGTCTGATTTCAGAGAAACCTGTGCACTTTGCAATGCTTCAAACATCTCATTTGCCACCTTTGTTCTCTAAAATAGTGATGGAAACCATCAATAAACAAGCATTTTGGAGTATTGGATTAGCAGGTGAGCGGAAACAGGAACAAAAAGCAAAACTCATGTGATTCGCAGTAAGATCCATACAACAGGATACCAAATGTAGAGTAATAATTTAAGGCTTTAAAATTAAAAGCAACACAGTATAAATCAACAATGCCTCACACCTGCCCCAAGTAAGCAAGAATTTGCACGACCGATGGATTAAAGGGGCAGTATGAGGATTAAAGTTATATGGGCGACAGGCAGTGGGATAAGGCATAAATTTTACACACTACATGCCCCTTTCCTGTCTTAATTTCATAGTCCACCAAACAATAATCCATAGTAAAAATGGTCGAAACTTGGCATTAGCAGACTAGCGGTAGTCCAGTAGCAACAGCACTGTTGCATGATATACTATGACTTGTGAGTAATTTTTTAGGAAGGTCATTATTCATGCGTCTTTTCTTCTATTCATAATTTCTGCATAACTTTTTCTCATTTTGGCCAAATTAACTTATATTCCTTCCATTGCTTCATAATTTCCTGGTCGTCATAGCAACAAAAACCAAGGGAAGTGAGTCTATGAAAGTGGGTCCTTACCTGCTTTTTGGATAGGAAAGAGAATGAGGATTTAAGTGCGCCCAACAAATAACAATGGTAGAAAAAGGGAAATTTATTCACCAAATAAGGAATATAAAAAACGAAGGAAGAACTTCATGAAATGAATGAGTACAGAAAGTAAGAGCTTCTAGAAATGGAGGGAGGCAAAAGCTATTAAGAAGTATATATATAGTGAGAGTAACTTGAGTGGATGGTCAGTTCAGTTCTAAATGGTTAAAATACAATTACCACATCTGATTTCCAGGTAATGTTCGGGTCTATTTCAGGTTCTTTAAATCAGATATGAGTCAATCTTGTCAGATTTGTATTTTTAACTCCCAAGTCCCTAGAGATAGATAAGCTGAAATCAATTCATGTCGATCACCTATATACCCAACAAGAACAAGATATTAATCAATAAAAGGATCAACATAACCCTAGAGTCCAGGCCTTTAAAAAGTCTGAAACCTGATTGATCAATAACAGTCCTTATTAACATTATCTAGTTCAACCCATTCTCTATTCTCATGCCTGGAAGTTTCTTCTAATCGAAAGAAAAATAGAAAGAAGAGTAGCCTCCCAGTCATTAAAATCATACACAAAGGAAGCTAGGTTACTAGAAATTCAGATAATCTTATTAAAATATAGACGAGCTAGGGCCTAGGGGGATATGTATTGTGATGATTCATATGCAAGATGATCCAAAATTTATCATGATAAAAAAAAAATAATAAATAAATTAATTAAATTAAATTAAAAAAAAAAAAAAAAAAAAAAAAAAAAAAAAAAAAAAAGAGTTCTTACACTGGATGAATGGACAAAAAAGTTCTTTACCCCACCATTAAACCCCTTTCCAACAGATCCAATCTCCAAAACCTGAACCAAATGTAAAGGAATGAATAGCAAAGGTTATCAATAAACGGAACAAAATTTGCTCAGGTACAAGAAAATGAAACAACAAGTAGATTGTACAACATCTTCTGCAATATGCAGCATTATCTAATGGGTAGGAAAAACTTAATTCCAGAAGCAACTAATTAATAAATGAGCCTGCATATAATTGGTAAATTTTGATCCAAAAGCACAGAGAAATAAATAAAGAACAAAATAAAAAACAAACAAAAAATTAACATAATTTCAGAACATATTTAAAATAGTTAGCATCTGCGTTATTTTTCACTTTCTTTCATAAGTAAATAAATAAAAGGGAAGAGCTAGTACTTTTCTTCAAGCATAAAGGAATCACAAGGTCAGAGAATCTTAGTCTCCTCATCAGAAAGTGGTTCACCAATTCCGAAAGGAACTTCTGAGATCATGTTGTTCATTCTTCTTTTGAAATTCACTTCAACTAAACTAGAACACTTTTGGCCTCTCGTAGGAAAAGACATTCAACCAAAAGAAGGTATATTACAGGTTTCAATAGAAGAGATTACAAACGCATCAATCAGGAATCCAGAAAACATCTCACACAATGCTAACAAAAAAGACATTGTAGTAAAAAACTTCAAGAATTGGAACAGAAATATGTAAGACCATATTCTCTTCTCTACATCTACTCTCTACAAAGGATCTGAGGTACATTAGGAAACACCGTAACTGGCAACAAAGTGTTTTCAAACACTGACAAGAAACACACAAGACAAGTGCAAGCAACACCACACAGTCCACAGTTTTATCTTTTCTTCTGTTTGGCATCATACAGAGCAAGAGAAATTCATAATTTCATAAAGAGAAGAAGAATATAAAAGATGAGTCCCTAACAAAAGAAACAGTTATAATGAGCAAATCCCACCCAATCTTGCTAGTAACAGGGATATGGCTATCAGCCCAAATAGCAACAATACAGAATACTGTGTATCCCAACACATCATTTCATTGTAAAAAAACTTATGTCGTAAACATGACACTCCCAAATGGATAAGATTTGCATACATGGCACTTAAATATTTAGTTGTACACATCACTATATTAAATCAAAAGTTAGTAGAGGGAAAAGCAAAGCGCGGGAGTGAGGATAAAAAGCTACTCTCCAATTCCAAATTACCCTAAAGTTACTGGTTCAACCAAATTACATTTATCATGTGCAGGCTTAAAATGAATGAAACCCATCTGCACCCTTGAAACCAGTAACTATGATAATAACAATGAATTTTTTTTTTTAAAAAAATAAAAAATAAAGTTAAAGAACTCCATAGTCCATACTCACAACCTCTATCATTGCCATCAGCACCTATATCTCTCCTCCACACCTTTTGGCACCACAAAACCACAACTGCCAACATCATCCAATAGGGATTTAGACAAGATTCCTTCCACCGATTTAACATTATCAGCTTCCTTGGTCATTCAATATTAAAATCAACATTTAATTTATAAGCTACAAATTATATGTGCAAATTTGATTTTAAAAGGCACAAAAGTAATTGAGGCCTAGGCGCAAGGCAAAGAAGCATGCCTTTTGTAGATGAGATGCACTTTATTTTAACAAGAAAATAAATTAATTACTAGTAAATAAGTCGAAAAAAAGAATTCTAAGAAAAGGTAAAAGACCATGTGACTAATAGCTAGTACCTCAAATGGAATTGGGGTATATGTTTTTTCTCTCCTCTAGTATTAAAGTATGTCTAACCATTGCAAAATCATGTGGTGTTTGAGCTTCTAAATCAATGTGAAATAGTAGATAATTGTTGATATTTAGATCACTATGGAATTACTTATCATAAGGTACCACATGTATCTGACTTCTTAACTCATCCTATATGGAAGAAGCTTCTTCATAGTCATTAAGATATATTTGATATTAGTTAATTAAATGAAAACTATCAATTACTTCAATATTAAAAGTTTGACCAATATATTCTGCCAAGTGCCAACACATTACACTAACATACAACTGTATGGAAATCTATAATTGTTTGGTAAAGATTTAAATCATATTTGCGACTTGTTTGAACTCACCCTGCAAATGCTAAAATCTGTCTTGGACAGTTATATCACGATAAGAATTGTTAGAATCCATTAAAAGTTTAAATTGCTATACGCACAAAGACTATTGACATTTACACAAAAGAAAACTTTATCCTATTTTTATCACTAAAAGCGTTTGGAATTTTTAAGTCCTTATATCATGTCTTTTTTCTATTTTTTCTTAAAAAAAAAAAAAAAAAAAAAAAAAGAATATATATATATATATATACACACACTACCACTAATTGAGAGTGCAGCAGCAATATTAATCCATGTGTAGTTGGTTAATTAAATTTCCTATAAACACTCTCAGAGTAAGTTAAGTTTTCATAACACATGCGTCTAATCACTTTGCAAGAAATATGTTCTAAACGTCTAAGTGTGGTATGATAGTCACTTTGGGATGGAATATAACTTACTGCATTTTAAAAGTGATAGAAGTATTTAATATAGTAAGGAAAATTTATGTTACGTGCAATATATTACCGTTTCAATAAATGTGTCATTGAGACCTGCAACAGCATCAGATTGCAGGTCAAGTTCATGCAAGAACCTTCGGCTACCAAGGAAACCCCAGGTCTCTCCAGTAAGAACCAGGAAAACAAGCTGCAAATACGTAAGAAGCAAATAAGATACTGAAAATCAACAGATACGTGTTCATATGAGTGTTACTTCTTCCGTTTTCCTAAGTTTTGCTCAATTTATTTGATAAAGCATACAAAAGCACGCACAAGCATGATCAACATTTACACTTTTCCTTGGTTTGCGTAGCTATAGTAATTAAGTAACACTCAGCAAAAGTGAAAAAGTAATTTGTAGACCTCCTCCCCATCCGTGGAAGGGTAATATGAATTCAGGGAAGGAAATCCATTTATTCAAGTAAAAAATAATAAAGGAAAATTAGTCAAAGCTCACCTAATTAAATTGAGCTAATACGACTTAAAAAAATTTTATTTTTTTTACAAGACTCATGTTTCTATATTTTTTTGTGAAGTAACAACTTTTATTTGCTACTTGACTATGTTACTCAGATAATGTTACTAATTAAGTTGTTGTGATTACTTGCATTACTACTTCAACTATGTTACTAATTAAGTTGTTCTGATTGTAAGCAAATGTAGCAAACTCACTATGACACTTTTTAAATGAATTTATCTTAATTCACCTCTTATATTCTCAAGTCCTATATTCCATCTCTCCTTCTCTAACTTATTATGATATCATGCAAAACATGCCTAACAATTTTTAACATCCTAACATACTCATTTGCATAGTAGAGAACCAAGACTTGTCCATCTTTCCAGCATTCAAAAAAGCTCGCTTCAGATAATGAAATACAAACATAGTGCATTTTGCCACTCCAACAATCATCATTCAATAGGCAATGAGCTTATTACAATTACTACTGTGCAACTTCATAGATTTATTTAGTCATGCTTATTAGTGATATTACCAAGCCTTAAATTAAATCTAAAAGCCAACAACGTACCAAAGAACATGACAAAATAGTTTGGGCACAGCACAAATTTAAAGATATTTGAGATATTATTGCAGCTACACTACGAGATCTTTCAGAGTCCCAAGACACAGCCCTTGAGAAAAAATTATTAAGTGGCCAATAAGTTTCAAAGAAAAACTCAATGAAAATCCATATGTGGTGCCTAATTACAAGCAAACTATAATCACCTGCTTCTTAAAGCTCTTCAAATAATCAGAATGAGAAAGAGCATCAGCAGCTGCCAACAGAGCAACTAATCCCTACAAAAATTTCAAAGAGATTTATTTAAAAAAGAAAGAATTCCATGCTTGTGAAGATTCTCTAAACTATCACTATATCTAACATAGTAACATCAAACAAAAGCTTACAGATAAAGGTGAATCTGCACCGAGGCCTTTGTCACGAAAAAAAGAAGCAGAATCCATAGTTCCCATTGCCAATATAATAGGCTTGGTTACATCCAAGGAAGACTGAATGATGGGAGGAAGAGACGACCAAACACTGCCCTTCAGATCAACAAACATCAACGTAAGATTAACAAAACAAAAACTTATATTATAGAACAGAAGAAACAACATATTATCCTTTTTGTAAAGCAAATAAAAAGGCGGCTGAAAAATATGTGAAAAGAAAAACAAGAAGCTAACAGCAGATGGCCTGACAAAGATTCCCTATGCCTTAAGCCTATTGCACTCAATATCCGCCAGTTCAACTGATAAAAGATTACACGAGATCACATCATAATAGTGTTAGGGCCGTTTGATTTTGAGTGACAAAAAGGGAAGTGAAAGAGATTGATTATCCGTACTTCCCAAAAGGGTTGTTTGAACGCACAATTTTGTTACTCCCTCTCCCCATTTTGATTTTCTAAAACCCCAATGCCCTTCTACATGATTCCCAATCCCTCCATAGAAAATAAGATTCCCTTTTTAGGAAGATCACACAACAAAAGATTCGCTTTTAAAATTTTGTGACCATCATTAACCCTCCCTATAGAATATAAATTATAATTTTATAACAAGTTATAAACACCCAAACCGTCCATAGAACTCAAGCATCAGTAAATCGGCGTAGACCAGCTATAGCAGTCACTACTAAGTACTAAACAAAAAACAGCACCCCCTCTAATTAAGAAGCACCAACCATAAAAAAGCCTTTTCATATTGCCTTTCCAGTATTTCACGCTTTGCAGTTTGTATTCCTTTCCTTCCCCCTTACCTTTATGCGAATTAAACAGCCTTTCTTAGATTTAGATTAGATTTTATCTCTTTTAAGTAACTTTCTGTAATACATTTAATGATTCAGCTATTTATTCACTTCATGGTTATAACTTCTCGTAATACATCATTGTATTTATATTATAATTCCAAAGGTGCAATCAAAGTGGTCAATCTTAGGAGTCCCCTGTTTACCCTTCACAAAAATTCAAGACAGGGACCAACATGTAAGTACTTACACTTGTAGGGGGCGTTTGGTATGAATATTGGAATGGGAGTAGAAAGAAAACAAATAAGGAGAAGGAAAGGAATCATTTAACCGTTACCTTTTCATTTGTTTGGTTTAAAAATAGAAAGGATTCACTTAAACTTAACTCTCTTTATTTTAGTTTGAGGGTAAAGGTAATTGTTACCTTAGCTTTTAGAGAGGTAACAAATGGGTGGAAACCATTACCCTTAGGTAAAGGTAATTGTTACCCAAGCCTTCTAACCAAACACTTGGTAACGGTAATGGTTTAATTGAATCCGTTTCCAACCCTAAAAATACTCTTACCAAACTTGCTCTTAGAAGGAGAAAGATTGAAAGGGATTTATTATCATCAATTGCGAATAAAAACTAAAATTGTTCATCATAATACAACAAAGTAGTTTAGGCTGCAATTATGTTTCAAAATTTTAAAGTAAAATGAAAAGAAGTTCCTTCAAAGAAAAAAAAAGGTATTGCCTTCACCCATAAAAATAAAAAATTAAAAATTAAAAAAAAAAAAAAAAAAAGAACATAATGAAGTTAATGGTATTCGAATTGCTGACTTAGTAAAAACATTAACCTTATTAACTATCATTACCACTAAGCTACACAATCACGCATGATAAAAATAGCATCACTAAGTTAATTATACGTATAATATTGGACTTAAAAGCAGAAAATTGGGCCCCTCTGTGGGCCTAGGGCAGCCCCCCCCCCCCCCGCGCGTTGCCAGGCTCAAATACTAGCAACTCATTTTCATCTTCTTTTATTTGCCGGAAATCAATTACATACGCTTCTTTCATGTATTTGAACCCGTACTCCAAATTTTGGAATGTAAAGGCAAGGATAATTAGATTATATGAAAATCAACATGTCAATAATAATAAAAAAAATTTGGAAAATGGTTCTTCTTGATGCTACGGCATGTGAACATTTTTTTATACTTCTTTACAGTGCATTCTTATTATATTTTTTATTTTTTAAATTAGAAGTTATGAGTGCGTGGCTATGTGAGGATTTATGAAGTTATATTATTTCACAATAAATTACATACTCATTTATTATCTATATTTTTATTACAGGAAGAACGAGAACCAATTCAAGGTATTATATTTACAAAGGATGTTAAAAGGGTATATCACCAATTCAGAATTTTATTGGCAAATTTCAAGAAGGTATAGTGAATTGTTTTAAAAGGGTACAAGTTATTCAAGCCGAAGATTGGTTACGAATAGTTCGTAATAACGGAAATAGAAATATCCTTGGTTGATACCAACATCGAAGATTTCCGAAATACTTTTACAACTTGGTGTCTTTACACGGAGTGACCTCATTCAAACACATCGAAAGAATTGTGATGATAGGTTACTATATCACCTTTCATTTTACATTTTTTAATTACAACGTTTTTCACCAAACACCCCCGAGCAATTCGCTTATTTACAATATACCCATGAAACTTTCCAAATACACCATATATCCCCAAGTTTAATAAAAATGTCCTGTATACCCAAATGACTAACAGACATCAACTCTGTTAGTCATTAAGGGTTAATTAATCTATTTAATTAATCTATTGATTGGCTGTTTTTTAATCTATTTAATTAATTATTAAGAAAAATCAAAAATTCAAAAATTAGGGCGGAGATGGTTGGGGGAGGGGTGAATTGGGTCCGCCGATACGGGGGAGGGGCGTTTGGGGAGTCGGCGGGTAGGGAGGGAGGTTTCTTCGAGGGAGGGAGGGGTTTAAGGTTACGAGGATGGTGGTTTAGGGGAAGGGGAAGGGAGATTTCATGGGGTCAGGTATGCTGGCGCCCGGCGCCGGCGTAAGGGTTAAGGAGGATTTGCGTCAGCGTCAGCACTAGGGCTGGCTTCAGGGGAGGCGGCGGTGGGGGGGCATGGAGGGTAGCTGAGCAAGGGTTGTTTTTTTAATAATTTTTTATTGTTCACTAATTATTGAATAATTATTTTAAAATTTAAATAATTTGAAACGAGAACCAATCAGGCAATCAACAGATGCCACGTGGCACAATACTTCCATTAGTCATTTGGGTATTTAGGGCATTTCTGTTAAACTCGGGGGTATATGGTGTATTTGGAAAGTTCCATTGGTATATTGTGAAAAGAATTCCTCGGGGGTATTTGGTGAAAAAAACCTAATTACAATACTAATTTTTTTTGGAAAACGTCAGTAACAATTTAATTATTATTTTACCTTTTATGATTTTATATTTTTTGGAAATTAGATGTTGTAGGACTAATCATATATGCAAGTGAAATTCACCGGAATGACATTACAGGTACTATTAAACAAGATATTATCTTGCTAGATCAAAGGTAATATATAAACTTGAATTGACGCACTATTATTTGCATTATTTTTATATATTACTTGATGTTAATCAAAGTAGATTTTCTATAAGATTGACAATATGGAATAGCTTTGTCAGCGAAATTGGTGAAAGAGCAATAGATGATTATGATCAAAATCTCACTTTACTTGCATGTAGTGTCCAAACATCAAAATTATAATGGTAAAGTTAATTACATAGAATTATAATATCATAGTTTGCTACCACAAAAGATTAATTTTATGTAGATATTGATTTTGTTATTCTAAACTCACCTTTTAGGTACACTACATTTGACATCCGGAAGGTACACAAGATTTTATATCAATCACAATGATTCTACTTCCCATGAAATAGAAAAATGGTTAGTAATAGTACTGTAATGCTTTCTTTTATTTTTATCATAGTAGTAATTTTTTTATATACATAAAAAATATTAAATTAACAGTTTCAACCAACACCAAAAATTTGCTCGGTAGCATCATATATATATATTAAAGGATTTTGTGGTAATTAGAATCACAAAATCAACCAGTTTGTTACTTAAAATATCTAATGCAATCTTAACTTTTAAAAAGGTATTGTAATGATAAGTTGATAACTTTGCTCAATCAAAAGCTGAGTGGATACAAACATGTGGTCTTTCGTTGTATCGGACACTTTTAATGTCAAATGCCCGTCGTACTACAATATCAAAGTTTCCATCAAGGCCAAGAGTAATATCTCACCATCTTTCAATACATACACTATTTTGGGATTGTTATACTTCATAAATAGTCCATATATTTTTTTTATTATAATTTACAGGAAGAGTTCTTGGGATATTGGTTGATATTAATGTCAAAAGCCTCACATGGTATGATGCATGCTCTATTTGCAATTATAAAGTGAATTATTTTGGTGATCAAAGGACATGTTCAAATTGCCACAAATTCTATTTGCAATTATAAAGTGAATTATTTTAGTGATCAAAGGACATGTTCAAATTGCCACAAATATAATCCTGAAATCATTCAAGGGTAAATTCACCAAATTATTTTTAATCACTTTTTATAATTGTTATGTATTTATTTCGGTAAATAGTTTATCACTCAAGACTACTATTGAAGACTAAAGTGGAATGCTGCATTTGATTTTGTTCAACCAACAAATTGAATTCCTTCTTCAGTGTCCCAATTGAAGGACTTCATAAACAAGTTTATCTATACAACATATTTTGACTTGCCATCTCATTAATTTCTTTTTCTAACAATTTTATGTAATATATTATACACTAGTAAATGAGAAAGAGATGATGATGTTGTTGCATACATATTATGATAACTCATATGTTTTTACACTTACATCCCAAACTTCTTTATCGTCACACTATAAAGTTATTTATGTCAAATTTGTTAATTGGGAGGAAGAATGCTCATATTTACTTAAAAGGTGAGCACATTCATAACTTATTTTAATTGAATGTAACTAAACTATTATATGCTATATTCACTATATTGATTCAATTTTTTTTTTTTTTTTAGGAGACGTAAATGACTAAAAATCAACCACGAAGCCAACTCGTTGGTGATGTTGCTCCATAAAGTTTTACTTATACAGTTTAGCACTTTGTATATATATATAAACAAGTTACATGAGACAACTTTTAGTTTAAACGTTATGTGATATGTAAATACATAGTTTGTATACAAATTTGGAGTTTTTTCATGTAATCTATGTTAATACTCTTTCAACAATATTTTCACAAAGAAATAAATGACAAAAAGGCTAACTGAAACAAAGAATTCATAAGTTATTGATCATCAACATAATATGTAAATATATACAGCTTTTTTTAGATTTCAACACATGTACAACGTATACATAAATATTCCATAATTAATTATGTAAAATAATGGAGGATAATTTTTATTTTATCTATTTAATCTTTAAAGGCAACTCCTTTTTTGATTAGGAATTTTCCCTTTCCAAAAATACCCTTATATGTATATACATATATATATATATATATACACACACACACACACACACACACACACACACACATAGGGTTGGGATCCAATGAAAAGGACCTTAAGATGAGAAGGGTGAGAAGGAATCTTAGTCATTCAAACAAAACAATATAGTGGCTTATATTAAAAACAAAAAAACAAGTAACTTTAGTTCATCATCCTCACCAAACCACTACTGATAATTCTGGTTTCAAAAAACAAAATTACCGAATTTGTTCTCAAAGTTTTGCACTTTTCTATTTTATCAAGCCAATTTCCTTGCCCCCGCTAATTCAACAACCTTTTATTTAATTAAGCCTGACCAATTTCGTTATCAAATTTTCACTCCTTGTGCACTTTTATCTGACATTCTTCTTCTTTTCTCTCTCTAAAAGTTATGACGTCTTTGTTTTTTATCAATAAATTTCAGCTTAATCGGTTGAAAATTGATGATTATAACATTTGGTTGCACAAATTTAGTCAGTTATATGGAAATACAAGAGTTAATTTGAGCGCAAATTAGGTAGCTGTAGACATGTTTGATGAAATTAATAAAAAGGTAGTTGTAGACATGTTTGATGAAATTAATAAAATTATGCCTGTTTGTATATCTAATTTGCAGGTTCTACTCAAATTAAAATACATTCTCTTTGTTTTTCATGCTTTTTCTAGTCAATAAGAATGTATGCACATATTGTTAAAATATTATGCATATTCTATGTAAACATTATGCATATTTAACAACTATATATGCATGGTTGAAAAAAAAAAATGAACATATCATTGCCAAACTAGTACTTCTTTTATGGTGTTGGATTAAGAATGACATGGTATATATGATATTCTGGAAAAATGAAATAATAATGCACATCATATTCAAACTTTATGCACGATATATTTGAAATAATTTTTTTTTTTTTTTTTGCACATTTAGTTCAAAAAAATTGCACATTCGGTATAAAAATTATGCACATAAAATCCTTCTCATTCTTCTCATTTTAAGGAACTTCTCATTTGACCCTTAGGGTTGGGATCCAATGAGAAAGATCTTAAAATGAGAAGGATGAGAAGGAACAAATGTGCATATATTTTATACTATATGTGCATTTTTTTTATATTGAATGTGCATAATTGTGTTTCAAACTGCTAAAATTTTATAATTTTTTGGAAAAACGAAAATTTTGCACATTTGTTAAAAAATTATGCACATCAAATTTGAGTCAATTTTTTTTTTTTTCACATTTAGTTCAAAATATATGCACATTAGTACAAAAATTATGCACATAAAATCCTTCTCATTTTAAGGAACTTCTCATTAGACCCTAATATATATATATATATATATATATATATATATATATATATATATATATATATATATATATATATATATATATATATATATATATATATATATATATACACTACTACAAACAATACCATTCCCTAATCTACAGTTCTTCACTACTACGATCCTCTTTTAACATTAAAAAAATAATAGAAAGTAAAATAACTTTAAAACGGTTTTCATAGTAAAATAAAAGTTTTTTTTTTAATTTCCTTAAGTTTTCTTCTCAAGTCTCTCCTATTTTTTTCTCCTTATCATCTTAAACTGATTTTTTTAGTGGTTACATTTTTAAGGGGAATCTAGGTAGTCTTTTTTTTTTTTTTTTTTTTTTTTTAAGAAGGGGAATCTAGGTAGGTAGTTACTTTAACATAAGCATTAAAAACCCCTTAAATAGGAAAAATCACCCTTATAATTTAATTCTACTATTATCAATTGTAAAGTAGTAGTCAATTCCACTTTCAAAGCGACTAACCCTCTTGCAGTCTTGCTTCCACAACCGATAAGTTTCTTTATTTAATTTTTATCAATAATTCATTGTAAAAGAACAATTACTGATTATGGGCTATGGCTACATGTAATTTATCCAAATATTAAGTAAATTTTCTTACTACATTTACCTTTTAATGTTGAAAAAAATTGGCACTTAATTTCCAACTTATTGTAAGTGCATAAGGCAATTTGTTCTATTCAAACTTCTTAATTTATTTCGATGTTTCCTTATAGAATTACTCCCAAAGTGAAAATTTGTTGAAATTTGAAGCTGATCACTCTAATAAGATAAAAGGTAATTTTAATCCATATCTCATTACTATTGGGAATAATGCTGCCACTCATAAATAATTTAAATGTTAACTCTATATGGTTATTTTTTTTTTTTCTTTCTCTTTTTTATTGCCCTAATTTCATAATGTTTTTAGAAGTATTTTATTGTTTTTAATAGGCTGTAGAAATAATGTGATATTGCAAGGTGAATTTTGTGTGTCTAATAATAGAAGATTTTGGTGAGTATTGAGTTTCACATACAACATTCATTGTCAATAATGAAGTACTTAGCTTCCTTTTGTCAATCATCAATTGAAGTTTTTGTTTGTTTTTTTTCCTTTCATTTTAAAAACCGAGTAGTATGGTCAATTAGTTGTTAGTAAAGAAAAAATTAAAGGTTTCAGCAACTGTAAGGCCTTGTTTGGTTCACCTTATTTTTACTGATCTGGTCTGATCTGATCTAATCTGGTGTGGTCGTCTGGTCTGGTTATCTGATTTAACCAAACTTAAACTTTGACCTTAAGTGTACGATAATCTATAAGGAAAAAATATATCAAGTGGGATCTTGTTAGATTCGTAATAATGTATAGTTTATTAATATGTAATTTTCACAATTGTTTTCATTACGAAATTAAGAATATTTAACGATAAAAAACCGCACATAAAACGATGTTCTGATGTGAACTTATTTTTTCTGAAATAAGTAAAAATAAGTTGAACTAAACAAGGCCTAAATCTACTATTGTACATTGGTAATCTTTGCAATATTTTTTAATAAAGGCTTATTACCATATTAAATTTCTTCACTCATTTGGTATTTTTGGACAGGACAAAAAAAAATTTATGAGGCCTATAAATGTTGTTTGCTACAAAGGTTACAGGGTAAAATGGCAATTTGGACATTGAGAAGAAGCAAATAAGTTCTATAATATTCTATTATCGTGAAAGGAAGAAATTGTGATGGAGGAAGATCAACTATTGTACCTTTTACCTTTAATTTACCGTTGTAATTCGTAACAAATCAAGTTCATCAAATATATGCTGCAATAATTGTGATAGATTTTACTTAGGATAAAGTTAATGATGTAGGTGTTTTTTTTAACAAATTAATGTAGTTTTTGTTGATATTGTAATTTGTAATGTATCATACACAAAAAACTAATTAATTATTTTAGTTATAACAGTTCAATGAATATTGTAATTATTGGATGACATGAGAAGGTAAGCATCTTTTTTTATTATAGTGAATTGGTAAAGTGGTAGTTTTTTTTCATATATATAGTGTGGCCATGTCGACAGTGAGATAATTATTTTTTCCTGCTATATAGTGAGTTATGGGTCGAGAGAAAGTTAATGTATGAGTAAAAAAAAAAAAAAAAAAAAAAAAAAAAAAAAAGTAATGGAACAATATCATTTATGCATGTTAAGTAATAAATTAACTTTATCTCAAACAAAAAAAAAGTACACACATTTTTATACGAGTACAAACATTGTCAAATAAATCGAAGGCAAAAAGAATCGTGCACGCATTGCGTGCGCGGTGCGCCTCTCAGCTTGTTTTCTTAAATGAAAGTCTCATTTCATTTAATTATTGTGGACTATCCCAAACCCTACCTCCGACAAATTCTTCCTCTATTTTTATTAAGTTGCAATTGTTTGACTTTTGCAATATTCACGCAACCCACTTTGACTCTCTTTAATTATTTATTTTTTAAAGGAAAATATAGTAATGTGGGGTCTTTTTAGTATCATCTCTATTTATATTTTCATAATTTCAAATTTTTAATATCAAATTACACATCGTCAAACATGATATGACAAGTGTTGCAACAAATGAATAATAGAGGAAGTTTATTCTTTCATCGCCCTCAAATAAATACAACCTTCGTTTCATATAAATTGCACACTTTGCCCAAAAAAATGCGATTTTTTTGGTTAAAGTGTTGTTATTTTTTGAAACAGAGGAAGCATATCATTTGACCGAAAAGTTTTTTCCAACATGAAAGTCTCAGTGCATGTAAATATTGGTTTCAATTGTTTATTTATTTATTTTTTTTATTTCCCTCTCCCATGTGATACTTTCTCAAGTGATGGGTCTTCACTTTCTCTCACCTCTATTAAGAAACATTAAACTAGACACCTTTTCTAAATCGTATATGATCAGCCAAACTCCACAATTTTTGTGTGCAAAGGGCAATTGGGACTTTTATACTAAATTATTTTGGAAATGGAAAAAATTTGGTGACATCACACAATGGAGAGGTTTAGAGGGATAATTTTCCAATAATTAGCCCCACCACCATAAACACATTATATTAGTAAAACTTCAGCTGACATGCAAAATAACCATTATAATTGATTATATTAATAGGAGCATAACTCACATCTTCTTGCGTAGATTGACAATGGAAAAGAGTTCTCACCTATATCCACCTAAGGGGAGGCACGTGCCTGCTTTCAAACAAGACTCCGAATCACGAGTATCAGACTTTGTTGTCTAAACCAAAAACAAAACAAAAAAAAAAAAAAAAAAAGTAACAGAATGTTATTGAATAGCTAAAGTTTGAATGCTAATATCGACTAAGTTTTTATTCTTAAAAATTGTAGAAAATGAATGTGGTATAAGGGATTATATGCAACAAAACTAAGAATAACAACGAGGTTCACCTGCATAACAAGATCAAACTCAGCAACATCCTGACTGTATGACCTATTATTCTTTTCATTCTTAGTAGCAACCTGCATAAATCAAATAGAAATCACTAACAATACAAATAGCAAGGACACTAACGCATAAAGGAAAACAGCAAAAGTGGCTAAACGGCTATTTAAACCCTTTTTCTTACTGCAATTCATTTCAATTGTCATATCACTCACATGTATGACATATAATAGAAAGGATGAATAATCAAAAGAATAAAAAAGTAAAAATAGCCAAACATACTTTAGGAGTTCTTTTTTTTTCAACTAATCATTTAGTTTAAACTTAGTTTAAGGGAATTTTCACTTGCAAAATGGAAAACACACATATGCATATGCATACACAAACACATGCACAGACATTCTTATTTACCTTCTAGGAGCTTTACCTGGCTGGTTTATGAAAGGCCAAGAGCTTATAGTGTTGTTAAAAATCAATATTATGAAGGGAAAAGATTTCAACATTGTACAAGTCTAAAAGAGAAATAAATTTGTATCGTATATATCCATCTTATAAAAAACAACCTCTTCCATACAAGAGAGGGGCGGAAAGGGATTGACACAATCCAAACTGTCTAACAACCTACTGAGTTTAGCCCGTGGGATGAAAAAGGTTATTTTGATGAGACAAATGTGAATGTTAGTGAGTCCTTAACAATCACATCATATCCTCTAATTTGTTATGGAAATTATACCCCTCAAGGTCACACTCATTGGAGGAAACTCTTCCTTTATGAATGTGGGGACATTAAAATAAGCTTTGAAGAGATTCAAAGGATGCAAAACCTATATTGCTTTATACATTCTTATGAATCAATTTTAAGACACTTTCATTTCCTTGCATTTTATTTTGTTAGGGGGAAAAAAAAAAAAAAAAAAAAAAAAAAAAAAAAAAAAAAAAAAAAAAATCTTACCTAGACATCAGGAGTCTAGAAATTGGTTTGTATGAAAAGAGAAAAGGCAAAAAGTGCCCCTTTTTGTTGATGGAGAGATACATCTGAAACTCTTATAATTTCAGCTTCATTGTTACCCAAATACCTCCTCCAATGAAACAGATTTGTGTCTAGCTCAAACGCTTACCAGCTCTCATCAACTATAAACACTTATTAAAGAGGTATCCCTAAAAAAACTATAGAATGGAGATCAAAATCCTTACAATGCCTCGGTTCACCTGCCCAGCAGTGACATGTGATTACCAATGCGGCAACGCCACTCCCCCCCCCCCCCCCCAATTAGACCTGTTAATTCGGGAATTCAAGTCAATATGACCTGAAGGTCATGTTTTGTCTTTTGTCTTCTAAAGTGCAGGCCTGGTTCATTTGAGTAAAATTCGTGTCGGGTTTAATTTTCGTTTCAAGTTGTATCGAGCTGGGTTTGCAGCGGGTTTATGGCAGATAATTCAGGTTAAAGTTGGATACCTTTCAATTCAAATCATTTTTTAGTTAAGTTGAATAATAGCAAGCCAAATCAAGTCAAAATTATATAATTACACTTATATTTCCATAATTGGACGGTTTGGACCAAGCATTAATAACATGTTATCAAACTTATACATTTGCAAGCGAGAGGTATATTATCGGAAGAAAATGTTTAAATATGTTGTTGAACAAAAATTTGCAATGTATATTTATCAAACAAATCTACTAATAATATTAAATCAATTTTTTCTATGCTTTACTAATGTAATTAAATTAACCTCAATATTTATATTGTTTCACTTATTTTGGGTTGGGTAAGAATAGGTCGTGTCGACGTGAAATTTTATGTTAATTTAGGCTGGGTTAACAATGGGTGGGGATAAAATCGATCTACAAGTCATCACAAATCAATCCAATAGCAAATTGTATCAGGTTATAATCAGTTTCAGATGTTTAATAGGTGCAGGTTCGGTTTAGATCATAGATTATCAAATCAGCTGCCGGTTAACTTCGGGTTTGGTTTGGTCAAGTACAAATCACTGATATCTCCTATTGTTTAGGTACAAGTTGGCTTGGGTTAAGTCAGTTTTTCACGTCATTGTTTACAGCTCTAGCCCCCATGTAATGGAGATTGAAGCAACTGACTCAGCAATAGGTACAAAACCACAATTGCCACATCCTTGATCTGAATACTTTGGCCATAGAGAAGTCCACATTAACTCTCTTCTCTTTATATAGTCATGATGAGGGTCAAACTTCTTACAGCAAAACCTTTGGATAACTATTCCAGAGTAGCAGTTCATATCTTAATCTTTTTAAGAATTATGTAACTTTCTATAAATTTTCCTGTTATCACACCACTTGGTCACTCCTTCGACAGGAGTATTCTTGGGTGGAGAATAATCAAGCAATTTGAATTTAAATTAGCATGAATCGTGTTCTAGTCCGACAAATTGTGTAACCAGTAGTATGAAGGTTGATCTAAGGCATTCCACTTATGTTTTGTCGAATTCTCAAGGTTATCAAAATATTATAACTACCAAGCACTAGACACTGAAGTATTCAAATTTTCCTATTTTGTAGAGTAAATCACAAGCTTTGGTGGTCTATGAAGCATTTCCTAATAGTTATCAAATTCTAAGAGCACATGATGATCCATAGCCTCTAACAAGGTTCTAATACTACTTTGACTCCATTCACTCAACAAATGTAAACTACGGGGCAATGTATGAAAAAAAAATAAATAAATAAAAAACCTCAAGGAGCATTGAAGCAAAGAGGGGTTTAGCTGCGATTAGGTGCGCCTCTTTGAAGGGAGGCACACTATATGAATAATTTAAAATTTTTGGCTGAAGTTCACTTCAGATGCACCTCTTGTGTACACCTCGGGTGTGCTTTTAGTGCGCTCCACCTGCGTCTAACCACAAACACCTCACCAGACCAAGTAAGCACTTACCCCCTAGGTGCGCTTTTTAAACACTGTTAAGGGGACTATAGTTGGAACTTTTAAGTAAAAGCTGCAAGGCCAAGACTCAAATTTGTTTGCTTCTTCTCCATCTCTTGTGTGGAAGGAGCAGAGGCTTCTCTCTAACAAGGATGGGAAAGAATCGCTGGCCATCGTTCATGAAGCAATGCAAGATCATTTACAAGCACGTTAGGAAGAAATCTACTAGCAGCTAAAGAGTTGAAAATTTAAATAGAAAAAGTTATACTTCACAGCCATAAAGAAGCAGCTGATTATGTTTCTTCCCTTCATCCTTCTTTCTATGATCTCTCGGATTTCAAAGTGGAACAAATTGTAAGGTTTTGATTGATCTCTTAGTCTTATCTATGGAAAAGTTTTGTGTGAGTCTGTCGTTATGCTATTCTATAATTACCATTCTACCACCATGAGTATAATAAATAGTTTCAATCATTCCCTCAGTCTTTCCAGTTTTGTCATAATATTTTACTGTGGGTGTTGTAAAAAGCTTGAATCACTTTTACTTTATTCCATTTTTGGCAACCCTTTTTTACACAAACATTCATAAGTTGTATACTTGCAAAAGTGCACTCGTACGTCAAATATAAAAGATTAGCTACACCATGTACATTTGTGTCACAATATCAAAGTAGAACTTCCAATTAGAAAATAGAAGTTTCATAATAATAGTATTATCACTATATGTCAGATGAAAAAGTATAGGTAAGAAAATTACCTCCTTCAAGATTGACGTATTGTTCTCAGATAGCAAAAATACAGGGAAATTGTAGTGGTGCCACATGATGCCTGATCCCTGATAAAAACAAATAGTAATAGAGTAACTTTCGCGGACAAAAAAGATAAATGAGAAATGACAATAAGCATGACCTTTTGGTACCAATGATTGTGCCTACATCAACATTGGCAAATTGGCTACAAGTCTATACATACATTCCTATAAAATATTTTGAACATAAAGGAAAAAATATTAATTTGAGTTTATTTTTTATTAGAAATATAATTCTGAAAACAAATCACCCATAAAAAAATTGTCAGTGAATAGCCACTTCCCCTGATTTCTGGTCAAATGCCACCAAAGTTATCTGATTTTCTCTAGTCATCTACGCATGTTGTTTCAAGTAAACTCTGCATCATTTTTAAAATAAATTGCAAAAATGTCCTTATTTAAGTAACCCTGTTTAATTCTTGTATCTTTGCTTTTTCAATGACCATCCAGTGATACATGGGTGAAGGAATCTTGGCCAAGGGAGCACCCTTCTAATTAATTATTATCTTTTAATACATCCACGATACATGCATAGTATTACAGCATACTATACTCCATACCAACCAAGATAGATTGTATATATTCCAACCTCACTGCTGACTTCTATACACTGTAATGCCCTTTTTGCTAGCTTTTAGGTTCTTTTGTCAATGTTCTTTATATAAAAGGCATTCTATGTGTTAAGGGTTTCAAATAATTCTGCAACATCAAATGAAATAGAAAACTATAAGATGATAGAATACACCATACATTAGGATTCCATTCATAAGTGAGATTCTTGTAGGGAGAAAATTTGGACTGAGGAAATTTTTCATCAGGAGAAAATCCTGCAAGAATCAAAATTGCTTGTAATCTACCAAACAAAAAACATTAAACTTCTCAAACTGCCAGTTTCCTGAAAATCATGGCAATGCATACCTTTCAACTTCTCTTTATTGGATTCTGCCTCAACTAATACACCACCGATGTTCCTTCCAAAATCAGCATCTGTAGCTACTCTAAGAGCACGAAACACACAAAGTGATACAAATGTCAGCAAATTATGAGTTACCAGATTTCCTTTGTGGGTTAATACAGATTCAATAATAAGACAAAAGCCAAAAAGTAGCATGGGTATTTCATCAGCTAAAAGCTATCAATATCGAAGAAGTACATATGAAACAGACCAAAATAAAGTGCAATAGCCCACAGCATCATGCATCATTGAAAAAAATTCCCAAATCCTGGATTAATGATAATAGATTATATCGTATAGCTCGGGGGGGAGGGGGGGGGGGTCAAAATACTTGCCTTTGTTCTTTTAAGAGGTCAAACACAAACACATTATAACCATGAAAGGAAGTTACATGGACGCATTCACAATAAGTAAGAAATAACTTTTTTCAAAGGTTTGCAAAGGTCAAGGTTTTTTTATTTTTTATTTTAAGAATGCTGGTCAAGGGAGACCAAGTTAGAAGGTACCAGATTATTCTAAAAACCCCAGACATATTGACAAATTTCCAAAGGAAGTCATAATAGTCCAGCCAAAAGCTTTTAGATTTTACGCATCATGATGAAGATTAAGCTCAAAATATATGCTTTTAAGGCAATTGTGTTAATGAGAATGTTGTGAAGAAACAGAATTGAGAAATACATACAATTGACGGTTCATTTTGAAAATGAAAATTGACATTAAAAAACATACGATAATGTATTTGAAAGTAGCCAATTTTGACAGAAAAGAACAGCACAGCCTCCAAAGCTATAGCAAAGTAAGGGAGTAGCCATTTGGCAGTCTAGAGGAGGGTTATGCATTCAGGTATCAATATGGACACACTTAGGAAGTGTTTGATTCACTTTATCAAATTGAAGTTATTTTGTCTTCATCAATTGTCTGGTTGTCTCATGAACCAAATCGAGGTAATACAGTTATATTCAACTACACTCTAAATACAATAGTCTAATAAATTTGATGAAAATGAGTTATACAAATTGTGGTAACATAAATCTAAGCCACAATTTGCAAGCTTGTTCCTAAGTCAAATATAATAAATAAATAAATAAAAACCGTAGTTGTCACAACTCAGCCTTGTTCTAATCAATTGAGCTCAATTATGTACAAGAGAGGGGAGAGAAAGAGAGATCTTAATTCGGGAAAATTATAGAGGTTAAAAATCGACAAAGCACAAAAGGGAAATTTAACAGCAAGCTACAGAAGATGAGCATATACCGGTTAAAGAAACTTTGAACTGCATCCACTGAGAGTAGGATGGTAGACAACTGATGTATCACAACACCATCACGATACCTCACAACAGGAGCAACAACTTTATCCCGTCCAGGATCTAGAAACATAAGTTAAAACACATTTTATAAGACAAATGAAATTTAGTATTCCAGTAATGTAAACAACTGGGGTAGAAGGAATTTGAATTTTTTTTTCCCTTACTTTTTCTTATTTCCATCTTCTTGGTCTTATTTCCTTTATTTTTCCTTTTCATTGGGGTGGGTGAGTAATTTTCGAGAAAAGGAAAATTCCATTAATCAGTCTCAACCGTTCTAAAAAGTTGGGACAATAAGCCAGATGGAAATTCAATGGAACTATCATTCAGACAAAGAAAACTTACTAGCACAGCCAATCTCCCCCGAAAGATTCAGAAGTCTCACACAAGGAAATCCATCAATCACTTTATACATTGACCTCTCAAGATCAGGAACGGAATCTAATGAGTTGCTCTGTCCTGAAGTTGTTTAAATGCAATTATAGTCCCAAAAGTTAGTAAGAGCATAACAGCTTATTTACAATCCTTTTTCATTAACAAAATTAATAAGTAAGCAATAGAAGAGGAAATAAACTAATTGCGGAAAACAAAACCTACTTGGAACCAAGTTAAAAAAACATATACAATACTATGTCCTAGATAAAAATTAACAGATCATTCCCAATATAAACAGATATTTTACCATTTGTTTATGGTCTCTACTCTGTTTCCCTCAATTCAAAGTTTTAAGTACATACCACGCGTATGTCTCATATACCTTGGTAGGAATTAGCCTGCTTCTTTGCATATCCACAGAATCAGTTAAGCTTTCTTATCCTTACAACTTGCTTGCATAGTCTCACCAATGCTATCATATGTCATAACCAAACTCAACATACAGCAATTTTAAGGCCACTTCCCAGCTCATAGACGCCACCAAAGTACAAAACTAATTTGTCATTTCATTTTCAGCTCTTTCTCCCTACCCGCCTCCATTGTTATAAAAGCACGGACTGAAGTAGGAGATGCACAAGCAAGAAGCTTACATAATTAGATTATTCAAATAGTGGCTAGCTTTGCACATTTAAATGGTGATTGGACTGAACGTTTTTGCTCTAATTCAAGCAACCATGTACACATTAGCGTGGGAATCAAAGAAAGCAGCATGTTAGATTGTTATATGTCAATTACGCCCCGTGCAAAAAAGCTAATCACGAGAAGAGTCAAACAGCAGAAGCAGCTTTTTCTTCTCTAAAGTGAAACTCGGTCTTTTGGTTGTTTAAGGCTTGCTGCACCTATCTCCAAATATCGTTTATCTATCAATTTCAAATTCGTACAGCAGCTACTTGGTGAGAATTGATAGCAATTTTCGGCCGAAGTGTCTTACTCCATAAATTGCAAACGAGATTTGTGTTCCAAGTTTACCTTTTGTTTTCGATTTTATATATACAAAAAATTAACGTTATCTGCTGCACATTTCAATCATTATGCCTAAACTTTGGTTCATTAAAATGCGTAAAATTCTTATTCAGATTACAATCAAATTAGCAAGTAAAATAGACCTAAAATTGAATCAAAATTATTACAATCAATCAATCAATAAATTTATCAACAACTACCAAAAACAAGTATGAATAAAATTCGTAATTAATCAAGCAAATTCAGCAACACACTCACCTGAGAAAGAAACGGAAAACTGAGCTAGAAAACATATGAGCAGACACGAATACTTGTAGTATGACGCCATTGAAGGATTTGAATTCGTCAAAGATAACAGCAGCATCCAATCCTTACACCGTTGTAATTTGCATTTGTTCTTTCAAATCAGTGAAGTCAATTTATCCTGTAGAAAATTGAATGTTGAAATGTTGCTGATGATCAGAAATGCTGAAAAATTAGGGGTTTTTTCGAGTATCAACAAAAATTGCTGAGAAAATAATAATCGATGAAACTGGGGTTGAAGACAACGATGGCTTTTTAGGCACTGCTGAAAAAAAAAAAAAAAAAAAAAAAAAAAAAAAAACCTCAACTCACTAGTGGCATTATAGTAATTAAGTCAACAAATTTTATTAATTTAATGAAAAATAAATATAAACTATTGAATTGAATTAGTCATTTCAAAACTTTATTAGGTGTATGGAATTTTTCAACTCTCGCTTGTGGGTCATATTTTTAGATATGGCGGCGCTCCAAGGAAAAGAAGTTAGAGATAAAAGAGTCGCAAATAAGTTTTAGGAACTTGTAAACCGTTCATGGGTGTGAAGGTTACACCCCATTCACGATCACGGAGATCGCTAACTCCATAATGGTCCGGAACCATGACTGGATGTTCGGAGATGATGGTACGAATTTGACCTAAGAGAAGTCAAACCCTCTCTAAATAGGCCTCTACTTAATTCTTATGATATTCATGTGCGTTTTTCGATCAACATACTTATATTAAATTAATCCTAAATCTGTTTAATTTACGTTGATTGATTATTAATGCACAATCAAATCTATTATTAGCGATCACTTGAATTAGAATCACATTAGCCTAAATTCAACCATTAATTATCTTATTAGGCGAGATTTCAAGTACAAATTCCCTTTAAACCTGCAGAAAGGGGCGTGATCAAGCAATAGCAATAAATCATTGAATAATCAAGCAACATATGATCAATGTAACAATCATCATCATAAAAGTATCAACAAAATCTATGTTAATCTTTAAAGGGAACTCCCTTTTTTGGTTGGGAATTTTCCCTTTCCAAAAATGCCCTTTATATAAATACTTATTTTCAAGAAAAATAGTTGTTAAAAAAAATAATAACTATTCATAATTAAAAAAATATATAATAAAAATTATAAAAAATACAACTAAAAAAATTGATACTCCATCTCTACCCTTTCAAAAGCCATAAGTTGTGTTACTGTTCCAATTCTACAGTGTAGTGACAATTATGCCCTTGCTTCTTTTTTTTCTTTTTCTTATTTCCCTTGTTGATTGACTTCAATCTTCAACACTCATTCTTGCCGAGGGCAACCCAGGCAATCAGCCTGATTGACGAAATATTGTCAATTAGTTGCTTATGTGGGCCCCCTTGCCAGATATATTAATTTTATATTGTTGATGGGGTTTTAAGACATTACGGTGTTACTACTAAGTACTAACGTCTGGGTTTTTTTTTACCATCTTCTCCAATCTTCCATCGGTAGCAACACCATAGCAACCATCTGGTCACCACCATCATCTCCACCACCACCATTTATCCGCCTTCCGCCGATCAAACCTACAAAAGCTTCCTCTTCGTCCTCTTCTTCCCGTCGTCCTCCTCTTCTTCCCATAGTCCTCCTCTTCTTCCTCAACAATGGTCGCTTCGCGGCGAAACAAAAAGACACCCTACTAGAAAAGAGTGTAAATTAGAGCCATATCAACCCTTTAGGGAAAGCCTTTCATTTGTGGCGGCATTTTGAACTGCCATAGGCGGTGGTACTGTGGAGGAAGAAGTGGTTTCTAGTTTTAGATTAGGGTTTCGAATTAGGGAAAACTTGGAAAGCTATGTCTGAGTTCTGGTTTTGGTGTTAGATTAGCATTAGCCCAACGTTTGCCAAGTTTTTTCTATGCTGACAATAGTACCCTTACTATTATGACTGAAAAGACAAAATTGACCCCTAATTTACACAAGTTGTCAATCAGCCTGATCAACATGAATTTTCTCCATTCTTGCCTTTTCCCCTTTTCATGCTCCACCATTCATTTCTTCCATTTGTTTTCTCTCTCCTTTGAACCGGTCTTTGTCACTCTCACTCCATCTCTCCTTTTTCTCTTTCTGCCATCTCCTTTCTCACTTCATTTTCTCTCTCTTCACTCTCCACTCGATCAGCTCTCCTCCCTCCATTTTTTCCAGTCTCGATCTGTAGAGACCCTAAACCTAAAAATAGAAACTTCTAGAATATTAGGGTAGTATCTTCTCTATTGAAGCCATATTCCAAGTTTTTCATTGAAGCTGAGGTATGATCTTTAGGTTTTTTTTTCTTTTATAATCATGGAATATCAATTTGACAATCTAGGGTTTGGTTTAATTTCATAACTATTTAATTGATAGTATAGACTGGGGGATGGAATTACTTAATTTCGCATCCCTTTTGCTCGATACACCCTAGCTGACAATTAGTGTGATGGTTTTGCAAAATTGGGTGAATTTCAAAAAACTTCTACTAATTAGGGAAGAACTCCGAATCAGAAGAACAAGAAAAATCCCTCATTATTAGAGAGAGAAAGAGAGGTAATTAGCTTAGTAAACCTACAAAAATGGCAATTACTACTTGTTTTAGGGATTTTTACACCCTCCACGTGGACCAACTAGAGTCTGACATGTGTCAGCCAAGGGAGAGCCTAAAGTGAACCTACCAGGGTTAGACACGTGGCAGGCAGATATCCCACGTAGGATTGGCGGCCTTCAAGGCCCAAACTCCTATGCAGCCCATCAATCCTAGGTTTCCTTAACCTAGGACGGGCACGAATCCCATGACTCTATAAATAGAGGGACATTCCCACCTAGGGAGGGGGGATGGAATACATTAAATCCACACAAATTACGAGAGTAAATACTCAGTTGTTCAGGTTGTCTATGATAGCCGGATGATCACTTTTCTCCTAAGAGGAGCCTGATCCCATTTACATTCCGCACCTTTTACATCCAAACACGTTCTTACTTGATCGTCGGAGGCGGAACTCCCACCCACCGGAGTCTCTGTTGTTTTGCATGTACAGGCGCCCGGAAATCAGTCTTGGAATTGTAACTCTCCCGAAGGACACAGAAAAAACCCCGAAACATTTGGTGCCGTCTGTGGGGAGAGTACTTCTGAGATGGCTTTACATGAGTCTTTACCGCCTCTTAATGAGAAGCGGCCCTCGGCCGAGGTCCAGGTCTACTCCGACCAGGACAATGGTGACGACTTTGACGTCGACACGTAGCTATTGATGGTTCACTTAGAACTAGGCGTACCCGTCCCTTGGAAATAAAGGAACGGGGCATTGATCAAGCTGGTCTAAGTGACCCAACTGAACAGTCGACTGGACAAAACCAAGCGGCCGAAGGCGCAGCCGCAGTTACCAAAAATGAGCTCATGGAGCTCATGACCAGTTTCAAAGGGGAGATTAAAGACTTGATCCACAAGCAGACGACTGTCTCCGGCATGGAACAGTCGGCCAAGAACCCTTCGTCCTCAAAGAAGAAGAAACTAGTCAAGGACAGAGTACCTACTCCCCATCCTAAATCAAAGGAGAGGAACCAGCCCTTGATTGACTTTTCCAGGATCCACTTCATTGAAACGGAGAAGAGGAAACCATCCGGCATACTCAATTAGATGGTACAAAAAAGATGTATTCTGATGCCCGGATGTTAATCCAGCAGAAGAAGAGTCAAAAAATGTCTGAGTGGCTTCAACGCCGAATTTCCCAGACATCTTTCAGAATACCTCTATGAGGTACTCGTCATCAAACCGAGAGGGGCAGACAGGCGGCCTGTCCGTCTACTCTGGCCCTCAGATGATCCATTCGGCTCTGTATGTGCCTCACCAGCCACACATGCCGTATGGGCAACCATACATGCAGCCGGCCCTCTTTTGGAGGCAGGCAGCAGGCGGCACAAAATGTCCAACCTTTGGACTAGCAACTCCGTCTGCTAAAACTTGGGGAACAACCTTCTGTGTTCTCTAAGGAAATAACCTTCTGTGGACAGTATTATCTTATCATTCTGGTGCGAAAGAGTTAGACGGCCAAGTACGCCAGGCGTCCTGAGGCCAACTGTCAAGCACAACAAGCGTCATAAAGCCAAATGTCAAGTACTACAGGCATCATGAGGACGAATGTCAAGAGCTAGACCGTCAAGAAAATTATCTGACCAGGGTTGCTTGGCACCCATTGTCGTCCAACAGCTCCATTGTAAGCATAAGACACAAGCGGCTCTTAAAAAGCCAGGAAGTCGAGATGTGAGCAAGGCCCCAGACCATGGTGCCGAGTGTGATGCCGAGAGCTTACTTACCATGTGAGCATGGTTGGACAACTACCTGGTCAAAAGGATGTCTGAGTATGTTTTTCAAGAGCAACCAGCATGCCCCCAACTCCGCAATCACAAGCGGCAACTATGTGGCGGGGTCGATATGAGGAATTGAAGCCCCAACTTCGCTAATGCAAACGGCTTGAAATGCCGACTCCTCATTGCCAAGCAACGGCAAGTTGAAGGCAGCAATTGAGACGGAGTGAACGCCGAGTGACATTCAAATGCTCACCCTCAAGAGAACTTGACTCCATCTATACAAGCAACAACTATGAGCCAAGCCAACTCCAATACAGGTGGCATTGACTCTTAAATTAAAAGCCGAGAGGTTGAGATGTTTAGCAAAGCATTCGGCCAAGATTCTGAGCATTGTGCCGAGCGCTCACGTTTATACAGCAAAACCGAGCCACTCTTCGCTTGAGAATAAGTGGAGCCGAATGATCATTATAACTTGTTGAAAGCATATTCCCTCAAATTCTTGTTCGAAAGTGGTTGTTGAGTTATAAGCATCCGGCAATGGTGATTTGGTGTGCCAACTTGAAAACCAATATCAAGAAAGTCGGCTGACCAAACTCATACACCGTCCGGATACAGGTCTGACGGCCATTCATAGCCTAGTACCACTTGCCAAATGGGGAATAGACCTTCTGGGTCGGTATACGCCTACACAATGGCCGACTGTCCGCCTGGTTTGGGGCAATCACCATAGTGATTGATTGACTTGGAAACCAATCATACTCTCTAAAGTATCAAAAATTTCCAAGTCAATCAATTTACCTTTGAAACCAGGCGCACAGCCGTCTAGGGGCAAAAACAGGCGGTATAATTAAAAAAAAAAAAAGGCTAAGCCGGACCAATGGCCGGATGTTGAGGCTACTGGTCGGATGGTATTTAAACCCATCTGCTCCGACATGAGCAGACATAAGC